GTTTTCATAGTGAATTTTAAACTTATGAACATAGTTGGAGGGGTAAACTTTCCTGCAAACATTTCTTTAACAATATCAATACTAAATGCTCTAACAATGGAATATGTTGTGTTCGGACATTTGGCATCGGTTTGTGCAGTGGACTTTTCCAGAACTTGAAACTTGTTACTTGCAGAATGTATTCCCTGAAATTGTTCTTATTGTGAAATATTGTATACAAGCCTACAAATGCAAATTTATGTGAGAAATGAAAAAGGAATTAATCTTGGTACATCTAACTCCTAATTATATCTCATTTTACTTCAATTTCTTTATTCTTACCTAGGTTTTTATATATCTGAAGGAGCATTTTATTTGAAAAGTGGGGTAAAAGAATGGAACAGCACAGTTTAAGGAATTCACTTCCCAAGAATTGTGAACTGGTAGAATTTTATGATGAACATTATAAGTATTCTTAAGTAGTGTTCTTAAGAACAAAATGTGACATTCTCTGCATACACTTGAGGGGGCTATAGACTCAGGGCCTTGTAAGAACGCTTCAGCTTCTCAACACTGTGGATGTTTTTGCACACTCCACACTTGTCTTTTATAATCACCCCCTCTACCCAGCCAAACCCACTGAGAGTGTCTGGAAAGTCATGGGGGAAGTGCCTTGTAACTCTAGCTGGTTTCAGTTGAGTTCAAAGGAATTACCATCTCTGAAGACTTCTGAGGGTGTAGGATGCCTAAGCTCTCAAAGAAAAGTCAGTTTGCCACTGTACCTCAAATATGTGCCACCAACAGCTGAGAGTGTTGGTTTTTAAGTGTTGTGTTCTTTGTTGGATATGTCAGTTTTAACTCATTGGTATCAGGTATCTGTTACATGCCGCAGAAAACACCATTATTTCATAAAGCAAACACATGCACTGAAGTTAGGATTACCAACTGGTATATATGGGGGGTTTTTGCACCTCAAAACAGAATCACTATCGTGCGTATCATGCTTTCCCACCTTCCTTGCTGAAAAGTACATAAAATGTTGGGGTTGGTCTCTGGACCTAAAGGGCGCCAGCTTAGTACTCTGGCAGATTCACATTCTGCTTTGAGACCCCAAACCCCTCATCAGGGTCTTCCTCCTCATCGGTGGGATCTGTTTCTTCCTCGAAAGTCTGGAGGTTCTCCTCAGAGCTCCTCACTGCCTCTGGGTCATCCGTCTTCATGTCATCCTCCGGGAGTGGAGGCACTATCAAGGTGACTTCCACCTCTTCTGCATCTGCATCTTTCTCCTGCTCCGTGGACGGCTGCTTCATCTCACCCTCAGTAACCTCATCTGCCCGTTGGGCCGCTTCTTGCCTTTCCTTTTCCGGAAGTGTTGTGTTGTCCTTGACATCTTGGGATGGAGATGAATCTGGGCTGCCCTTCTGGCCCTCCTGGATGTTGGTGTGGCTGCTGCTGGCACTTCCCAGCCGAGAGGAGGCCACCACAGCCTTCACTGCTGCCTGATTAGAGAGAAATAAGTATTGAATGGTGTTTCCAGGGGAAATCCCAAATTGTTTAGTGCAGTTTCTACTTTGTTTATAGGCTCAGTCCTTCAAAGAAAAGTAAATTATCTCAAGATTGGTTGTCAGATGAAAATGTATTTGGAGAAAGAACAGTAAAACCTCTTTAATTCCAAATTAGAATTATTTAGTCATACGGACAATTTAAAAAAAAAAAAAAAGAGTAAGCTGTGTTGTCCCCAGTGTCTAAAGTTTTATATTCTCCCTTCCTTATTTTTACAAGGATGCTACATGGAACATGAGATCCATGATGCTAGCTGGTATGATGGAAATAAAGGAGTTCAGTGCCCAAACTAACTTCAGAAATAGTTAATCCAAAGCTATTTAATAGAGGTCATTTCAAAATTTGACCATGGATGATCTATTCACTTAACTTCTATCAACCTGAGATGAAGCTAATTGCTGTTTTTCTTATACCCTATGAAATAGATGTATTTTGGTGAACAGTTTCCGTAATAATTTTTTAAAGTAAAATTGTCTACAGCACAGAATAGTTTTAAAAGTTGTTTCCCAATTATTGCTGGTTCAGAAGCTTTTTGAATGAATACCAGTTCTTTGACTGGTGCCTTATTTAGATAATGATTATCAATAATATATGTGGCGGGGGCTGGTGAGATGAGGCAGCAGGTTAATTGATGTCTTGCCACCAAGCCCGATGACCTGAGTTCAACCTTCTGGACTTAGCCCTCAAGTTGTCTTCTGACCTGCATGTGTGCCCTGACACACTAGCAAGAATGTTCACACACAAAGTATAAGATACACACACATACTGAGAGAGGGAAGGGAGGGAGAGAGGAGAGAGACCTAAGTGGTTTTATGTCAGGATCTTAGGGGTTAAAAGCAATAATTCTCCTGGTCACAGAAAATAAGTAACAGAGTACTAAAGTACTAGAGTGCAAGACACCTTTAAAAAAAAATTAAGAACAAATGCTTTACCTTAAGCTTGCGCCGAGCATTGAATTCCTGGAGCTTCTTCTGAGCAGTGTCCATGTGGACAAAGTTGGCTGCTTTCCCTGTGACCCACGGATGCTGGAGGGCCTGGAATGTAGTCAGCCGTTTCTTGGGATCCAAAACAATTAGTTTTCTGACCTGAAATCATAAAGAAATATAGACTTATAGAAACTGGACTTAACCTCAAATTGTGCATGGCCAGGCATCCCATTTCCTGTTTCTGGAGGTGGATCTGCCCTCAGGAGCAGGACCAACCTCAGGAAAGCAGTAGCTGACTGGGTTCTGGAAGACAGGAACACATACTACCTGAGGCTGCAAACTCACAGGCTTCTTTCCACCTAATTCAAGAATTAGGTCCTGGCTTATCTACTCACCAGGTACCTTTTGAAAGCAGAGCCAGCCTCTGAGTAATTCCAGGCCACACTACAAGATCCCTTAGAATTCAGAACTTAGACTACATCAATCATTCATGCAGGGCAGATTAAACGGCAAACAAAAGGTTTAGTGCTCAAGCCCTTGCTGAATACTATTTCATGTCACTCTTGGGATTTACAATTCACTTTAACTCATTTGAAGCACTTGAATAAGTTAAGAGCTGGAATAAAAGCCACTTTAGGAAAAAAATAAGTCATTGGCTTTGAGGGTTATGGCTTGCATGGTATGACTAAACTCAACAAATGGCAATCCATTCTGGAAACTTTGCTCTTGTTTGAGAAGATGGACAGAATGAATTGTCAGGAAGATGAAATAATCCCCAGCCTTGGGCTCTGAAGGAATAGCCTGGTGTGAGGAGGGCAAGACCTGGACTCAAGGAGGCTCATTGTCCTGGTTACGACTCAAGCTACTTCCACGGCCCAGTCACAGACATACATGAATGTCCGTGACGGGGAACGATTAGTTTCAGTTCATACACGAAGAGCAGAAGTGTGTTTAAAGACTTAGCTATTGAGGTCAAACACTTCGTAACTAGTAGCACTTGAATCCTAACTCAGGTCTATATTCTACACGCTACATTCGAAGATTCCAGAGTCTCTCCAGACTTTGGTCCCGTAAAATAAGATGCTATCGATCACTTAAAACCCACAGCCCTTTCCAGCTCTCAAAATCCAGGAAAGAAGTGAAAACCGGTCAACAAAACCAAACATCCAGCTACATGAGGAGCAAATATACCTTCTTCTCAAGTTCATGAAGCTTTCTCTACACAGTGTTTGCTAAAGAGAGTGTGTTGGAGGGACAGACAATGACTAGTAGAGGCCAGGGGTCTCTGGAATCTGCGTGGGACATATTTCAGAAGGGCACAAGAAGAGGCGGAAATGGCAGACAGAAAGCTATGGCGATAGCCCAGGTGGGAGAAGGGTGGGGGCTGGTCTGAAACAGTGGTAGTGGAGGGGGACGAAGCAGATGTACTCAGGAGATTTGAGGAGTACATCACATACATATACCTCCCTTCTTACCCATATTAGGAAAGCTGTGAATCCTAGGGAATTTGTTCCACAAAACAACATCAAGATAACAGGGAGAAATATTTGGGGGTGGGGAAAAATGAGAACTGGGAAATGGGCTCTAGAAACCTGAATCAGTTCTAATAGTGTCATTGTGCTGGTAATCTTTGTGAACTTTGGCACACTTAGCAATTTTTTTTTTTACCTTTTTTGAAAAAAAATTATTATTTTTAATTTTTTATTATTACAATTCATTCATTTTGTATCCCAGTTGTAGCCCTTCTCTCACCCCCTCTCAAACCCATCCTTCCTCTTCTGTTCCCATGTCCCCTTCCCAAGTCCACTGATAGGGGAGGTCCTCCTCTTCCATCTGACCCTAGTCTATCAGGTGTCATCAGGACTGGCTGCATTGTCTTCCCCTGTGGCCTGGCAAGGCTCCTCCCACTCAGAGGGAGATGATCAAAGAGCTAGCCATTGAGTTCATGTCAGAGCCGGACCCTGTTCCCCTTAATAGGGAAACCCACTCGGAGACTGCCATGGGCTACATCTGTGCACGGGTTCTAGTTTATCTCCATGAATGGTCCTTGGTTGGAGTATCAGTCTCAGAAAAGACCCTTGGGCCCAGATCTTTTGGTTCTGTTGCTCTCCTTGTGGAGCTCCTGCCCCTTCCAGGTCTTTCTTTTTTATTTATTTTTTAGTTATTTTATTTATTACAATTTATTCATTTTGTGTCCCAGCTGTAGGCCCCTCCCTCATCCCCGACCAATCCAACCCTCCTTCCCTTCCTCTTCTCCCATGGCTCTTCCCCAGTCCACTGATAGGGGAGGTCCTCCTCCTCTTTCATCTGACCCTAGCCTATCAGGTCTCATCAGGACTGACAGCAAATCAAGTAATCCAGTTAAACAATGGGGTACTGAGCTAATCAGAGAATTCTCTGTAGAGGAATATACAATGGCAGAGAAACACTTAAAAAATGCTCAATGTTCTTAGTCATCAGGGAAATGCAAATCAAAACGACCCTGAGATTTCACCTTACACCTCTCAGAATGGCCAAGATAAAAAACTCAAGTGAAAACACATGCTGGAGAGGATGTGGAGAAAGGGGAACCCTCCTCCATTGCTGGTGGGAATGCAAACTTGTACAACAACTTCAAAAATCAATCTGGCTCTTTCTCAGACAATTAGGAATAATGCTACCTCAAGATACAGCCATACTACTCCTAGGCATATATCCAAAATATGCTCAAGTACACAACAAGGACATTTATACACTTATGAATACACTTATGAATAGAAAACTCCTAAATACCTTTTATGATTCAAAAATTTACTCCATTATTTTGGTGTATTTTTTTTTTCCTCCAGAGGAATTATGGTGGCTGTTTCTGTTCTACAGAGGCATCCCTCTACTGGAAGAGGCAAAGCTCTGTCTAGAAGGGATTTCTTGAATATTAATGGATTTCCATGTTAGCTTGAATGTGAGGCAGTGCAAAGTGAGCAATAAAACATTCTATTAATATTAATAAAGTGGATCTTGCTTATAATTCCAGTGGTGCATAAGAGTGCTCATGCAACTGTCAGGATATTTTAGCAAGTTTAAAGTTTTTCATGAATTCAATTATGTTTATTTTACATACATCTACATTTAGGTAAATAAGCCACACTGAAGCAGAATTCTGTGTGGACAGTGTCTGGATTTCATAACACAGTGTTATTAGAAAGGCCCTCTATTTACCAGGTAGCAAAAATTCATTAACTAATGCTATTATGATTTTCAGCTAGGCAGTACTGAAGGTATGCCTATTTTTCCTTCTCCATGAGGAAAATGCATTAATGTGCCTTTTAAATTAAAACACCTTGAAGTTATAAAGAAATGGTGATGTCAAAAGTGGCATATTTCAAAAAAATATTTTACTATTTCTTAGCTAAAAGTTATCAGTCACATTTTGTTTTGTCACACTTACCAAGTCCTTGGCATTTAAAGATACTTCATCCCACCAGGGGGATATAAAGTAATATTCACAATTCAGAATTCTCCTGAACATGAACTGATCACCTCTTTCATCATAGAATGGTTCAAATCCACAAAGTCTGGAGGGGAAAAAAATAGAATCAAATACCTTTAAAAGATCAAGTATATTTCATCAGTCTTGCAAAAATTCAAGATCTCTTTCCATATTCCCTACTTGTATAGGTGTCTGGCTGTTCCATTATAATTTATGATGAATAACAGAAAGCCACAACCTCACCTCCAGAAGGTATAAGAAGAGTGGAACCAAATTTCATTTAAAAGCTATAACAACTATAGCACCAACAAACTACAATTAAACCAGTTAATATTTAGACATTATGGTATTGATTTTCTAGCAGATTTGTCTTGAGAATTAAAAAAGTATTAGACAAATTGATTATTCCAATTTAGTGAAAAATGGAAGAGTTAAACACACAAGTTTGAAATTAGAAAGAAACAGAACTCTACAAAAATTAGTAGATGTCTGACTTTTTATATATTATTCTAGCTTGGATTTCAGAAACAAAATAGAGATACTAATTCAGTCATTACAGGCAGCCAACAGATGAGCTGCACGGATTGACGCCCTTCCTGTAAATGACCATCTTAAAGACCACATTCACTGACATATTCTACTATGGGGTCAGCAGAAAAAAAATAAACAATGTGATAAAAGGAACAGGGGTGCACCTCTGACTCCTTAAAAGAGAGGGCAAGAAAAGTGGGTGTCTGCTCTGGGGTAACCAAGCTTGCACTGGTTAGAGACAAGTGGTGGTCCTGGGTCTAGAGCAAGGAAAGGCAGCTGCAACAAGTAACAGTCTTTCCAGGCATATAGTTACATGTTCCCCTTGAAAATCAAGTGGAAAACGAACAAAAAGTTCAAAGATATCCCCTTTGATTCTTCCTTTAAGCCAGCCAGGATGCTACGGAGCATCCTGAAATCCTTCCTGAAATGATGGTTTCTAGGAAGAGGCCATTTTTTTTTTTAACCGCCTTTTTGCTTATCGGATGTTTCCACGGGAGAATGTTTGTCTCTTCCAAACATTCTGGAGCTCTCTGGGGAAAAGGAGAAACCCGGGACTAAAAAAGCCAAAATCCGTGCACTGTCCCCCTCCTACAGCACACAGAGAGCCCTGCACTTGAGCCTCCTGCAGATGGGCGTGTAAGCACATAGGCGTGAGCAGGTACCTCCATCTCTAACACTAGGAAAGGGTGGCCTTGCTACTGGCTGGTCACTGAGAACGTAGCCAGCTTTCCAGCTTTGCAGTGACTCTTCTTTGATGACACAGGCAAACAGTTCATATCACATCATCCTGAAACGTCAGGGTGGAAGAGAACTGCAACCCAGCATGGGACTCTCTTCCACGCACGTGGTGCAAAGCTCCCTTGGTGGAACAGCAATGGCAGTTTAGGAGATCACCGGAATTACACAGGGTCTGGAGCGTAAATGCTCTGTACAAACCAGCTCCAAGCCTTTGGGATGAACTGCAGTGCTGAGAGCTGAAGGAGACAGTTTGAGTGTTTGATGACGTAGGATGTCAATCTGACCACTATCGCCATCAGATGCCAAATACCTTAGCTCTAAAAGGTGAAGAGTTCCAGAGTTCCCGGGAGAAATGGTCAAAGGTGCTTTGTTTCCAAACTAAAGTCATCTTCAGAAACAGTGAGGCCATGGCACAAAACAGGTGGTAGAAAGAGGAAGTTTTAAGGAGTGAAGTGCCAAAGCCTCGATTGTCGTAAGATGAGGGGCAAAAGGAAACAGAAGTTTCCATTTCAGTAAGAATTAAGGGCTGGGAGGACGGCTCAAAGGGCTTGCCGTACAAACAGGATCTGAGATCGATCACCAAGGCCCACATTTAAATAAAGCCAGGTAGGGTGGCACGCACTTGTAATCTCAGTGTTGGAAAAGTTGAGAGATAGCTTGGGGTTTGCTTGCCAACCAGTTTACCAAGCAACCAGTTTAGCACAGTTAGTGAATTACTGTTCAGTGACAGAGACCCTGTCTCGAAAAACAATGGACAGGACCTGAGAAGTAATACCTCAGGTGGAAAACTGACTGGGACCTCATTTGGGCGTTCATGCTGAGATCTCACTGACGTTCTCGGCACAGCTTTCCCAGGAGGCCTCAATAGAGTAGATCCTAATGCCATCCTCCCCATCATTTCCTTGCCCTCCTCGCCTTTGGTTCTGAGCCACCCAGTGCGAGGAGTCAGGTGTTACGGCCCCACGCCACCAGTCCCTAAGCGTACACGAAGGCTAAATAAAGGAGACACTTAAGTCCAGTGGTACAGTGCCCAGATGTGCCAGTGATCCTTGCCAGGTGGACTGGACTTCAGTAATGAACTACAGGTAAATGGGATGTCCCCGGGCCTTTGGGCTGGCAAAGATGGGGGACTGAAAGGTGTTAGTCATAATCCGCACTGTCATTTTCGTTCACAGCCTATTATAGCTGTAAGTGTATGAAAATAGAAGAAATACAAAAAACGAGTTTGTCTGATTTGGCAATGGACTAGGGGAAAGTTGTTTTCAAGGATATGATCTCTTTTCTCACTTCCTGTCCCATACGCTGGCCTTCCCATGGAGTTTTTACTTATTCTGTGTTCCAGTTTTTCAGAATGAATGCCACTTTTAGTTTTCTGTTTTCATTCCCTCAAGTTCTCTCACAGCATCGAGGACTCAACCCTTCAAGGTACATTTCAACCCAAGGTCATAACTGGGGACATGTATTTTATAGAGACCAATATGGATCCTTATTTGTGTATGTCTTAGGGTTTTTATTGCTGTGATGAATCTCCATGACCAAAGCAACCTGGGGAGGAAAGGGCTTATTTCAGCTTATACTTCCAAGTAACAGCCCATCACTGAGGCAGTCAGGACAGGAACTCAAACAGGGAAGGACACTGGAAGCAGCTGATTCAGAGGCCATGGAGGGGCGCTCCTTGCTCTCCGTGGCTTGTTCAGCTTCTCTTCACCAGGACCACCAGCCCAGGGATGACACTGCCCACAGTGGACTGGCCCCTTTACCATCAATCACCAACTAAGGAAATGCCTTACATGGATCTTATGGAGGCATTTTCTCAACTGAAGTTCCCTCCTTTCAGATGACTCTAAGCTTGTGTCTGACGTAAAACTAGCCTGGACAGTGTAGTTTGGGATTTTTACCTCCTATCATGAAGTATTCTCAGGAGCTAAGATTCTCTCTCTTTCATGTAGGGACCCAGTGCAAAGCAACTTTTCTTAAACCCCAGAAGAAGGCCCTCAGCAGAGCCCAAGCCTGCAGCCATCCGACCTCAGGCTTCCAGACTCTGAGAATGGGAGAAGGTCAGTGTCTCTTGTTTAAGCCAGTCTGCTATGCATCCAGTGAGGGAGGTCACCTCAGATCACAGGCACTTCGGAACCCTGGAAAGATCTGTTACAGCTTCCCCAAACTGACTGCATTCCCTTCAAAATGGCCAACAAGTGTGTTTACTGTGATCACCTCTTGGCTGCATTGATACCTTGCTTCATTTGTCCTACAGCAATCTTCATGTACGATTTCCTTCACTGTTACCCCCAATTCCATCACCACTTTGGCAAATTTTCTGAAATTCCTTATTTTTTTATTAGACTTCAGCTCAGTAATAGAGTTGGAGATAACAGAGAATGAATAATCAGCTCATTTTATTCACAGCATTCAGCCCAAAGCCCTTGAAATCTTAACATAGAGAAAAATAAATTAATAGGTAAATGTGCTTGAAATATTCTGAGAAAAAACATGCTATTTTGGGATTTCTTCAGCAACAAATGACAGATCTCCTCAGAGGGCTAACAGTCTGTTTAACAAAATGCAAATAAAGGAGAGAGCGTGACCGGTGGACTTGGACGTCATGCTTACTAGGATCGTTAAATATTTCCCCAAATGAGGGTATTGTATTGGAAAATCAGATAAGGAAGAGCCCTGGTTAGATTCTTCCCTCCAGGGATAAGATAACATAAGAAGCAATATTCATTTTGAGACTATGCTATCACTGCCATTAGTAGAGAAAGAGACATCACAAAAGTCAAAGCGCAGCAATGTATCTCATGAGAGTTATCAATATCTAGACAATGACATGCAATTCTGTTTGTGTAAAGGTTGCTCTTCATCACTTACAAGATATAGGTGATTATTCCTACAGACCACATGTCCACTTCAGGTCCATAGGCACAGCCCCGGAGAATCTCAGGTGCTGCAAAGAAAGAAAATGAGGTTAAATTGGAGTGTGCCCTCATCACTCACATTTTAATTGCAATCTATGGGAAGAAACAAATTCCTAACAAATCTTCAGAACTCTCTTCCCCTGTCTTTTCTCCCTTATCCACACTAGAATGAACAAATTCTCACATCTGTTCCTGGAGGACAGACTGTAGTCGTTCTCATGTCATTAATAGCATGACAATAATGCTATTAATGATCAAATTCTGTATCAAATTACAGTATGCTGATATGGCCTGAATAAAATGGACAGAGGTGTATCTTTGCTACAAAATAACAACAATAACAACAAAAACCCTCTAACTCCAAAGGATAATTTATACATAGATAAGGAAGAAATGAAAGTTAAGCACAGTCAAAGGGAAAACAGGCAAAATTATGCTTCTTAGAAATCAAGAACTGCTTGAAGCAATACACTCATGTCTGAGCATGTGAAGACCGGAGCAGACTTCAGGAAGCAGTTGCAAAACTCTGGCACAAGAAGATTGGCATAGGAGCAGGAAAGGGCTGACACACATCTTGGCCTTGACTGCTGCACATCAGTCCCCAAGGAGATACTGTCCCCTGTGTTCCTGAGGTCATGATCTGAGAAAGGAGGCATAGCAAGACTTATTCTATTAGCTTTCTCTACTGTTGGAGTAGGAAAGCCTTCTCAGCCTCGGCATGGTCCTGGAGTGAAGAATATAAAGGTCCTTTACATTTTTTATTATCCAAGAACTATGAAAACTGGAAGCTGGCTGGGTCAGGTGGTTTGCACTGAGTACTGGGGCTGTGTTGCTTCCCTGACTCAAAAAGAGAGATTACGAGGAGCAACACACTACGGTCTGCAGAGAGATGGGGTTTGGGTCTATTAGCCCAAAACATACACTTCACATGCTGCTGGGGCCCATAAGGATTGAGCTGTTTGATGCATATGGATGGTCCTTGAGGTATGTCTGGGGGACAGGAACACCACAGTCCTCTGGACAGGGCCTCTGGAACCAGTGAATGGGACATCAGCCTTGAACATCAACACAAGCTCTGGAAGGAGCCTGCTTCCAACGGGCTGTGGGTTTACTGTGGCTTTTCCACATGCACCCCACCCTCCTCTTCCTCTGTAGAATCGTGCTATACAAAATACAGAAAATGAATAGCCAAGCCAGAACCATGAAGGCGCAGGGGACAGGACATGTGACAATAGATGAAGCTGTCACTCAACAAGATGCACCCTTCAAGTAACTGTATCTGGATCCCAAAAAGGTTTTTTTTTTTTTTTTTTAATCTACACTTGAATTATTCCTAGGGGAAAATGCCCCCTTTTAAAGATTTGATTAAAATTAGGAAGAAGACCTGCCCAGCATCAATGTCTTTCACTGTGGGGCAAGGTCTCGTTTCCTGGGGTAATTTGCACCTCATGGAAGGAGACTATGAGCCCCAGAGTGGACTGAGGACTCCCCCTTGTGAGTGCATTGTTTATCCTTGTGCCCAAAGTACTTGGACTTAGCTGCCCTCGCCTGCTCCTAGAGCTGGTCCAGAGCAGAGCAGGGAGGAGAGCAGGCGTTTGATTTGCACAGGGAGTGCTATCAGCCCCTGCAGGCCCAGGCCCTGACATCAGAGAACCTCTCGAGAACCCTGTATCAATGTTTGCAGAAGCGTTTAGTTTGTGAGACTCGGTTTGTTTGTTCAGTTGGTTTGAGCTCTCAAATCTCAGTGGGCTGGACTAGCTGATTGCCAAGTTCACTCGGAGCTTTAACCTGTGGTTTAGTGAGGGATTAGCTAACCCCTAAGTAGGAACAGCAGAGCAGCAGGAGCAGCGCTAACCACAGAGCCTGCTCTGTCTCATTCTCCATGTGCCCTGCTAGCCCTGCTTAGGTGACACTAGTGTGGTCAACGCTCAGGGTCATGTGTCCTGTCCTGCTCTCTCTCAGGGAACCCAGCCAAGAGCCCTGCAGCATGTGAACTAGGAAATAAGAACCCCTGGTATGTCTACAGAGCAACTGAAATTTTTGCCCCACTCAGCAAAATCAGCTCTTTTATCACATCTCTGTGCAAACACACCCTCCAGTAGCAAAATATTTCTCTGCAGGGCATTATCCTGTACTGAGTCAACTCTGGGGGTCAAAGGTTAACAGAGACAAAGGGAAAATATGATGTTCCTGTCATCTATAATAGATTTCTCTTAAAATGTGTCTTATTTAGAAACTTATACTATTTTAACTCCAGTATAAAAGTGAAGTCAAATGAAGTCTAAATAAAATTTCCATTTTAAATCAATTAACTATTTTAAATAGTGTAAAATCAGTTAACCATCTAAAAGAGTATAAATTATTTTAAATTACTAGTTATTATGACCATGGAATCAGCTTTGGAATCAGCTGATATCACTTAAAATCCATCTGAACCCTTTAAATAGCTGAAAGCCTTTTCCAAAAACTTTTCCAAATCAATTTCAGGTTCTGACACACCAGTCCTCAAGCCTCCTAGGCATCAGACATCCTCACAACTGACTCCAGTAGTCTGTCATCTCCTTAGAATAAGGAATAACAAAGAAGCAGGCCGTTAATTTCTGTCTGATAAGGATATCAAGCCAGGTGTGGTTGCACACACATATGATCCCAGGATTACGAAGTGGTAGGCAGGTGGACCAGAAATTCAAGGTCACCTTCAAAACAAAGTTTGAGGCCAGCAGACAAAACAAAACAAAAATCACCAGGTAAGATATCAGCCTGTCTTTTAATGCCATGAGCCTTTAGCTCTCCTTCACACTCCTTTCCTCCCAATTCCCACAACAAACAAATAAAATCTGGGGAGACAAAGTCCTTTTAAGACATAGACATTTTTTTTTCCAGACATGCTTTAGTGGCAGGACACGTAGCTCAGGAGTAGAATAGACAACTAGTACGATGAAAGCCAGGAGCTCCACGCTTATCACTGAAGGAGACCACGTATTTTACAGGATGGCAAATCAATCTCCTTTTCTAAATGTCTCGTAAATCAGTAATCATTTACTGATTTTTCCTGGCTGTCTTCCAAGTGACTTGAAGTTGCCTGTCACTTTCTGAAATCAGCTTATTGTTCAGGTTGGCACCCATGAAACCACTGTCACAGAGCACAGCTACCAGCCTACTATCAGGACAGTTGAATTTTGGTAAATGTTTTGTTAATTCCCTGAGTGTCAGACATGCCCTTTTGAAAAATCAATTTGGACTGGATACAAAAACTACACAAAAGTTCAAACGGTGTGATATTTATTCACTACCTCCAAGATCACAGAGTGGTGTTTTTTTTTTTTTTTTAATTTCCCTACTTGGATGACAGCATCATTAAACATCTAGAGACTGAAGAGCCACCGAGAAACTGTGATGGCGTCAAACAAAAGCACTCTAAGCACCTCTGGAAACAGCGTGTGGTTGTTTACTGAGACCATGGGTGCTACATTGCCCCTTCTTTCCAGGGGCCCCAAGAGAAAGCTCCTGACACTATTGTGCTCCTTGACTGTCTCTGATCTTATCACTGTTTCAGGTAGGCTCCATGAACCTTTTGTACTTACTGCTACAGAGGGGTGTAAGACTTTTCAAGCTACAGTTAACCCTATTGACTGCAACAGATCTGAAGTAAACTAAGAAGAGTGAATACAATGCATTCATTCATTCATTCAGTCAGTCAGTCAGTCAGTCAGCTCTTCAATAAGTCATCAAATATTTACTAAGTACTTGCTACATGGCAGACATTGTTAGGGGTACTGAAGCAATTGTAAGGAGGTGAAGAGAGCAAGTCTCAACCATATTATAAATTATGGCTCACCAGAGAGGTAAATGTTAATTAAAAAATAATTTAAACCGTAAATTATTTACGGTATTATTACCATAATTATTACCATATTATGGTATTATTACCATAAACCGTAAGAAGGGATATCTTTGCTAGGAGACAGCCAGGTCACACAGGTCATAGAGGCAGCCAAGTTCAAAGTGAGACATGCTGAGCCTATGGAAGTTAACTAGGCAAATGGGGAGAGGGTAGCTGAGGAGAGAGGGCAAAGGGAGCTTCAAGTGGAAGAATCAACTATTCGACAGTCCCATGGCAGGAAGGAGGAAGGCCTGCCTCAGGACCACAGTGGTGATGAGGGGAAATATGCTTCTAGAAGGCAGTTAGATCTAGTGAGTTTCTTTGCTGTTAAATCTCTCCCCTGCTTTCTCTTTAGCCAAACACAGGGTGGTGAGTGCCACAATCCTGTGCATCTTTTTTTGTTTTTCATGGAACCATTTTATTATTATTATTATTATTATTATTATTATTATTATTATCATTTACCTAAAAAAGTATATTCTTTTTTCAGATTTTTAAATATATTTTTTTAAATGTATTACAATTTATTTACTTTGTATCCAGGTTGTAGGCCCCTCTCTCAGCCCCTCCCAACCCCACCATACCTCCTTCTTCCCCTCCCATGCCCCTCTCCAAGTCCACTAATACAGGAGGTCCTCCTCCCCTTCCATTTGACCTTAGCTTATAAGGTCTCATCAAGAGTGGCTGCATTGTCTTCATCTGTGGCCTGGTAAGGCTGCCCCCTCCTGCGGGGGAGGTGATATAAGAGCCAGCCACTGAGTTCATGTCAGAGACAGCTCCAGTTCCCCTTACTAGGCAATCCACTTGGAGACTAAACTGCCATGGGCTACATCTGTGCTGGGGTTCTAGTTTATCTCCATGAATGTTCCTTGTTTGGAGACTCTGGAAACAACCCAGATGTCCCTCAGCTGAGGAATGGTACAAAAAATGTGGTACATTTACACAATGGAACACTACTTAGCAATTAAAAACAAGGAAATCATGAAATTTGCAGGTAAATGGTGAAAATTAGAAAAGATCATCCTGAGTGGGGTATCCCAGAAGCAGAAAGACACACATGGTATATACTCACTTATAAGTGGATATTAGACATATAATATAGGATAATAATACTAAAATCTATACACCTAAAGAAGCTAAGCAAGA